TAAGAGACTAATGCTGGTAAACTTTTAATGCCCAGGAGAATTTTTTTTGACATATCCCCACTACCGTCCTGTTGATAATGGTGGCTTTTAAAAATCATACTTCTTTTAATCAACAAATAAATATTTGAAAAAAAGGAAAACAGGAAATGATATCTGAGAGCCTGAGGTAGCATTCAAATTATCTGAAAAATTATTAGCAAAAAAAAAAATTAAGTTTCATTCACTTAAGAAAAAATTTTTTTAAAGATTTTATTTATTTGACAGAGAGAGACACAGCGAGAGAGGGAACACAAGCAGGGGAAGTGGGAGAAGGAGAAGCAGGCTTCCCGGGGAGCAGGGAGCCCGATGCAGGGCTCAATCCCAGGACCCTGGGACCATGACCCGAGCTGAAGGCAGACACTTAACGACTGAGCCACCCAGGCGCCCAAGATTCATTCACTTAAGCATAAAAATCTCATTTCTGTTTACCACGTGCAGATAAATAGAACTAATCTTAATAAGTTTTGAGTATTGCCTGGTTTTCTACTGATAAAAAATATATCCTTTTATCTCCCGGAGAACCTGTTCATCAGAATATTTTACCCAACTTACTTTGACTTGTGTGTAATTATTAGTTGGATGTCAGAAAAGGAACATGAAGGCGAAAGGAACTGTAGATAAGGTACTTGCCTCTTGGACACTCGGTTTCTAATCACAGCCAGTAATCGTTCAGGTGCTTGCTACTCCAGTCACTAATTGGCAGAAATCCATAGACCCCATAAAAAATACTCTTCATTTTCACCTGATGTAATTTGTGTCTAAGCAAGTTTTTGCATATTGCAGATATAACCACTTCTCCAGTGTAGTAATAGGACTGTTTTTCAGTGCTCTAATTTTTCTGTATCTTTCTTACAATAGAGTGTTCCTGTCCTTGATATTGATTATATGTTTTCCATTAGGATCCAGTATGGTAGTTATTGTCTCTCATGCAGCTGCCATACATTTTTACTTCAAATCAGTTTGCTTTTGAAAAAAAGGCAGAAGTGCCTGGCTGGCTCAGTCAGTAGAGAGTGCGACTCTTGATCTCAGGGTCGGTCGTGAGTTCAAGTCCCATGTTGGGTGTAGAGTTTACTTTTAAAAAGAAAGAAAGAAATGCACTTTTGAATGTTTAGTTGGCTCTTAAATCTTCAGTGCCTTTCGTTTTTACTAAACTTACCCCTTTTAGTAAAAATAATAGTTACCCCTTTTCTCCTTTCCCAGTCCCCGAGGAATAACTATTATAAAATCTAGTTGATGAAAGTTCCAGCCTTAGTTCTAGTGCCAATCCAAAATAATTGGGATTTCTTTTGGTAAATCTAGTTAGTATACTTGGGTAATATGCCAAAAACATAGCGTGTAATCCAGAGCCGTTAACCTTTATCTATTTATCTGCCTATGCCTTTCTTTCCCTCCCCTCTGTCTCACCCCCTCTTTTCCTCCTCCTCTCTCTCAATTTATTAAACTTTAAGAAAGGGGAAGGAATCAGATAACATTTTGCCAGTTAAACCTGCTAGTGAAAAATAAAGACAGTTGGAAGTTAATGGCCTTAATTTGGCCTTTTTTTTTTTTTAAGATTTTTTATTTATTTATTTGACAGAGAGAGACGCAGTGAGAGAGGGAACACAAGCGGGGGGAGTGGGAGAGGGAGAAGCAGGCTTCCCGCCAAGCGGCGAGCCCGATGTGGGGCTCGATCCCAGGACCCTGGGATCATGACCTGAGCCGAAGGCAGACGCTTAACGACTGAGCCACCCAGGTGCCCCATTTGATTGAAGCAAAGCATTACTGATTTGAACTACATAACCTTATAGTCTTTCAACTCCCTAATGCTAGCCTTTAAAAGTACAAAAAGGCTAAAGTTAGAAATTGTTTTTAATTAGAATATGTGAAAGTAACGTATTAAGTGTTGTGTTTTTTTTAATTTTCTCTCTAAACACTGAATAGAAACAAGTTTTCTCACTGTATTTTCACATAGATTCACCTTTTCCTCCAATATCAGGAATGGTGCACACATGTTTTATTTGTCTGTCATCTGACTCTCCCAGACTTCATGAAGGCAGAGATTATTTTGTTTTTGCTGCACTCCACTGCCTGGGACAAAAACCTCTAAGCGCTCAGTAAACAGTTGTTGAATAAAATAATAATTCATTAACTATTTTGCAACAGACCTGGAAAAACCCGCACACGTTGAGGAGGACATCTGCACTCCTTTATCCAAAGCACCCAAGTCCAGGCAACCCTCCAAAAGGTGGGAGAAAGGGAAAAGAAAGTACCCCACCTTCTCAGAGATTTGTTTTAAAATTATTCTATTTATGGCTCACAAAATACACTATTTAGGGAAATAGGTAGTATTCCTATTTTTCAGATCTTTCTAAATTGATGGTCGAACTGGTATTAAAATTTGCCTCTGACTTTGCTTTTGGTTTTCTGCTAGACCTATCCTAGCAGATTTTTGCTATGGTTTCAGCTCTGCTTTGGTTCTCTTAACCTGCCCTCCTCTCTCCTCCCCAACCAACACTATTCCCCCAGAGAAAACTTCAGCTTTTGCTGCCAATGTTGCTTCCTCTAAGTAAACCACTATTTAAAGGAACAGGAGAAATACTTCACCTGAGTTACATCTAAGTCCTAGAAAAATTACTGTGAAATAATTATATTTTAGATGTACCAGTCAGAATGCCTTTTATTGGTAAAGACAAAATTTTTCATTTTGCCCTTCCTTAATGAAAAATCAGACTGGCAGGGGCACCTGGCTGGCTCAGGCAGTGGAGCGTATGACTCTTGGTCTCGGGGTCGTGAGTTCAAGCCCCACGTTGGGTGTAGAGCTACTTAAAAAAGGAAAAAAAAAATCAAGCTGGCATAAAGATACCAAAACAGAAAATAAAACAATTATTCCTATAATTGCCACTCTGAGACTAGTTGAATACTTTTAATTTCTAAAATTTTACTTTAATATATTCCTTATTAGTGAATAGTGGATACACATGTGCTTTTTATCATTATGACAGATACTGTGTTTGACTCCAGTTGTCAGCTATTGCTATTGATGAAAACAGCCATCTCTTTGTGTCCCTCTTGGAGATGGGGGTTGATATTGACATTGCTGCTGGTTTAGTGGGACAGCTTCTTTTAGAATGACCTGTGGTTTCTTCCCTATTTCTGTATCTGTGACTTTTTTCTAAGAGGAAGTTGAAATGCTTTAAAATACATACTCATTGGTGATGCACAGTAAATCTTCCCTTCAGCCAGATGCTGGTGTGGCATGTGTAATACCACTGAGATTAGATTTCTCAACCTCAAAACCAAATTAAACCAACAGCACCTCTCTTCACAAAATAAACAGTTTTGCCAGTTATGATCACAGAATGAATTACAGAAACTACTTGTCTTGGGGCCCCTGGGTGGCTCATTTGGTAAAGCATCTTACTCTTGATTTCAGCTCAAGTCATGATCTTCAGGGTCATGAGATCGAACCCTATAGAGCCCATTTAAGATTCTCTCTCCCCCTCTTCCCCTCCCCCCTCCCCCCCTCCCCCACCCCTTCTCTCTCTCTCTCTCTCTCTCTCTCTCAAAAAGAAAAAAGAAACTACATGTCTCCTTTTTGTTGTCTAACATTTTGGGTATCCCTTTTTCCATCGCTGCATGTGTTCAGTTATCAGACTCCCAGGGTTTTCCTGATGCAGTGCCCTTCGCCATAATCGTTCTCACTGCTACCATGATGAAGTTTATCTCTAGTATATAATCATGGGTTTAGAAGGTAACACTTGCTAGTTAATAGACCTGAGAGGTCGCATGAAAAGCTGTTAGACAAAAACAAAACTTTATCTGTATGAGAACTTAGGGGAAAGCATTGCAGTTTGAAGCATCTGTGTGTTTTTGTTTGGTTTTTTTTTTTTTTTAAGGTTTTATTTATTTGACAGAGAGAGAGAGCACAAGCAGGGGGAGCGGCAGGGAGAGAGAGAAGCAGGCTCCCTGTTGAGCAAAGAGCCCGATGTGGGGCTCGATCCCAGGACCCTGAGCTCATGACCTGAGCTGAAGGCAGACGCTTAACTGACTAAGCCACCCAGGCGCCCCTTGAAGCATTCTTTTGATATTAACTCTGTGGAGGTGAAAAGGGGGTGATGCTTTTAGATTCCTAATTAAGGTTTAAGGTTAAAGGTCGGTCAGGTCACCCGGGTGGCACAGTCAGTTAAGCATCCGACTCTTGGTTTCAACTCAGGTCGTGATCTCAGGACTGAGCGTTCAAGCCCCACACCCCGCACCGGGCTGTGCGCTCAGCACGCAGTCTGCTTAAGACTCTCTCTCCCTCTGCTCCTCCCCTCCGCTCTCTCTTTCTCTCTCTCTCTAAAATAATTCTTAAAAAAAGTCACTGTAGTCTAGTAGACTTCAAGAAGTAGGGGGACCTAAAAATAAACACACAGGAGCAGCAGATGGAGGAAGTGGTTCTGGTCAGGACAACAGTACAAGAGTCAGGGAAGGAAGAAGGACATAGTAGAGACTAGAACTCTCACAGGAGGGTGGGGTCAAGTCCGTCTTCTCTTTGATGCATTGCTAGCATCGTGTAGCAGGTGCTCGTAAGTAATGTTGCATGAGTGAGGCGGTAAGGTGAAGAGAACAGAAGTTTTCAGGGAAGAGAGTTATTCTTTATAAGTTTCTATCTTAATAAATAAAACTGATATTTGGGAAGAATATGTTCTCTTCCTCTGAGTTCTTTAGCTTCTGGCATTGGAGCGATTAGGCCCTGCACAAATAACGTAGCACGATAGTCTTACCCATATTATTGGGAACAAGTATTTCTGCCACCAAATACTGCATAAATATTTGCTTGCCTGCCTAGAAAGTAACAGTGAACATTTGAGGTGCCTCATTATTTTGAAAAACTTAAATGAAAAGCCAGAGGCTTATTATTTGATAAAGCATATAAATAAAATACTTATTTTGAAATCATGTTTATGTTATGTGTGACTTTCTTCCTTTCCTTTTTTTAGGTGGCGTCCTTAGCTGGGCCTGGAGGGCAAGTGGAAATAGAACAAAACTTTCTTAATAATAAATTGAAGACAATCACTGCTTATTTTGGGGACCTGATTCGAAGATCAGCCTCTGAATCGTAACTGTGAGGTGGTGCAAAGACAAAGTTCATGTGTGGTCAGAACACTATTCAGATGAGACCCTTGGGATTTCTTTCTATATTCACTAATATTTTGTACCCACGATCTTATATCACCATATGAAATGGAAACTTACAGTAGATTAAGGAATATTAATGAAGTACTTTGACGTCTTTGGATAATATTAACTCTGTACATTATACATAAGGATAGTAAGTAACTGAAATGGAAAAGGTAGTTTTTTCCCTGTGCTTACTGTCAGACAATGTGTATATATGTACGTGTGTGTTTCTGGTTTTTTTTATAATTGCATATGTTTTGGTTTAACATCTTTGTGTGTGTGTGTGTGTGTGTGTGTGTGTGTGTGTGTGTGTAAAAAACAATTACTGTGTTTTTTCTAACAGAGAGATAAAAGAAAACAATGAATGAGCCATAGTCTATCTGCCCATTTGACCCCTGCTGAAATAATGTTAAACCTTTAAGGATAGAAACATAAAACAGTACAGAAGGGTACAAAATAAAAAGTAAAACTCTTCTACCCCCTGGCCCTACTCTTTATTCATTTATTTAAAGATAACTACAGCCAACAGTATTTTATAATTCCTTTAGAAGACAGAAAAGGAATTGCAGTATACTTTAATATACTTTTTTCCTTCTCATTCATGCACTGTTCAATACTCCGTTTTTTTTACTTAATCTTTTTTTAAACTATGTACATTTTACAAATATATCTCGAAGACCTTCCCTTGTCCTTACGCACACAGAGATCCACTTCATACCTTTCATGGCTATCTTCTAGATGGAATGCACTATAATTAATTTAACCAGTCCCCTGCTGATGGACACTTAAGCTGTTTTCAGTTTTTCGCAACTATTAACTATTGTGGGCATCATCAGGCATTTTAATTTTGTTATCTCACATGTCAGAAAAATGGTGTCTTACTGTTTGTATGTATTCCTTAATTATGAATGAGATTTGAGCATATTTTCATATATATTGGTCTTAAAATAGTTTTCCCCTTTTAAACTGACTGTTCCTATCTTTCATCAATTTTTCTTTTGGATTATTACCTTTTTCTTATTAATATGCATGAATTCTTCATGAATTAAAGAGCCCTTTGGCTTCAGTAGATGTTCCAAATACATTTTTCCAGTTTGTTATTGGCCTTTGCTTGTTTTGTGACTTTTTTTATTTGCCATACATAAGTTTTTAAGTTTTTATGTAGTCAGACTTATCAATCAGTCTTTTTCTCTGTTGCTTCTGGGTGTATGGTTTTTTGAAAGATCTTTTGCATTCCCAGAATACACACACATTTGTCCAAGCTTTTTTCTAGAATTTTACTGTTTTTGTGTCTTTGCTCCATTTGGAATTTGCTTTTTAACATCCTTTTATTTTATAAAGTTGGTGGGGTTTTTTTATTTCAATTACAAAAACAATATGAAATATATTTTGTTACATTGAGATTTATATTCTTTTTCTATTAAAATGACAATGAAAGGAAGAATGTGTGTTGCTTAATTATTCATCTAAAAATGTGTGTTCAGTTAATTTTACAAGTAGATAAAAAGACAGGGACATAGGACTCTGGCTATCAGGGATCTGGGACCTTTATCTTTTCATAATGTGAGCATGTTAAACATTAAACAAAACATGGTTTGGGCTTGGATGGAGCTGTAGGAATTGAAATAAATTGGGGGAATTTCCAGTAAATACTGGAAAGAATAACTTAAATAAAAACAACTTTGTTGGAGAATGGAGAAGCAGCACTAACTTCTGTCTCTTCAAACTTTACAATGTGTGCCCGATTGTCCTGCACTATAGAAGCAAGAGAGCCAGTCATGAAGGGTTAATTTTTTATTGATTTGCAACATCAAAATCTGTCAGGGTTCTTTGTTTTTATACTTCATCATCATGGAACATTAGTGTATGTATCATAAATTGGTCATCATTTTTAAATTAATGGTAACATTGGTCATAAACATGTGGCCTCTAGAACTAGAACATGACTTGACTTAGCCACTGAGGTAGGAAGTGGAGGAATAAAAACAGATTTCCAAAATCACCACTTGTTTTTTAGTTTGTGTCCCTTAACCTTTCATGCATACCTTTTTTCCACAATTCCTTTTCTTATTTATATATTGTTAATATTAAAATTAGTTTATCTTTCTGAGCGTACATAACCTTCTATGGGTAGAAAAGGAAACCTAACCAAGATTAAAATATTTCTCCACGGATCACACAGAGATATAACATTTGTAGACTTGTTCATGGATTATTAGTGCTTAAAAGAACTTTATTGTGCAGCTCCTGTGTTCAAATAAAATCTTACCAAACAGCCAAATACGTAAAATGGATAAAAAGTAAAGCTGCTGGAGCTGCTTCGGATAAGACAGAAGTGAGGAAGTGAGCAGCCCTTGTTCTAATCCAGCTCTTTTTTCTTTTGTTATATTGCAAAACTTCTTAAAAGACATTTTTGTAAAAAATGAGTATGTATTGTCAATTTCAACACAAAGTGAACAACTCAAAAAGTGACACCCCAAACCTCACCTTCTGTCTGGGGCGCTCCCTCTCCACCTCCTCTCCCACATTTCCATTCCACTTCCCAAAGTCCACCATCGCCAGCACCTCGATATGTGTGCAAGACATTTCCCTAACTAATAAGCACACACACAGTGGGATGGGATGGCATGGGATTATATGATTTTGACACCTGACTTTGTTTTTCATTTAATATGCCTTACAAATTTTTCCACATGAATACATACACATTTGCACTATCATATTTAACCGTCACATAGTATAGATCTGAGAATTTCTTTAACCATTACCCCACTATGAACATTTAAATTGTTCCCAATTTTTGCAAGGGCAGATGATACTGCAGGGTATATTTCTAAGTAGGGTAGGATCCTAGAAGTGAAATTTTTAGGTTAAAAGTCACGGTTATCTTTATATTTAGTCAAGTTGTCAAGTTGCCCTAGAAAACTATATATTCTCACTAACTATGCATAAAAGGGGCCACTTTTCCCCAGACTCTCAAAAACATGGCATGTTTTCACTTCTTATTGTTACCAAATTAATCAACAAACAATAAAGTTATCTTAATTGGCATGTCCTGATTACTAGTGAGGGATGAGCAGTTTTTCATATATATAATTATTCAAATGCATGTGTTGTTAGGCATCTAATTTTTTCACCATTTTCCAGTAAATGAACTAAACTTTCTCCATTAATTTGAAATCTAGTGTGTGTGTGTGTGTGTGTGTCCATTAATTTGAAATCTAGTGTGTGTGTGTGTGTGTACTTCTGTGTCTGGAATTCTTTTTGTTCATCAATCACTTGTCCATTCCTGTGCCATATGTTTTGATTACTGTAGTTTTCATTGTACATGTTAATAGTTGCAAATACCCCCATCATTAGTCTTTCAGATTTTTCTTGGCTCTTCCTGAGCATTTTTTACCTTTTCAGGTGAGCTTGAATTTGTCGGTTCTATTTTTAAAATCTTTAGGATTTTAAATTTTCAGTTGAGGAAGAATGATGTCATCACAGCATTGAATCTTTCTATCCAAAGACTTAAAATGTATGTCCCTTTCTGATCTTCTGTGTCTTTCTGTAAAGCCTTCATTATTTTAGTTGTATAAATCTTGCATTTTTTTTTGCCAAGCCTATTGCTTGGTATTTCACACTTACTGTTTGATTTTAAATGGGGATCTTTTTGTTGTTACTATTTCCTACTGGGTGTATTGTTTGCATGTAACAATGCTTTTACTTTCTTACATCCAGTCACCTCACTGAACTCTTTTTAATAGTTCTATTATTAACTGATTTACTTTGATTTTCTAAATCGGCAGTCATGACATCCCTGTAAAAGTTTTTCTCTTTGACAGTATGTATGCCTTTTAATTCTTATTCTTCTCTTAGTATATTAGTTAGAACTGCCAGGAATGTTATGCTAATGTTACTTACTCCTTGCTTTTTATTTTGCAATGAAAAGTTAGAAGCATTTCTGTTAAATATTAGAGCTTGCCTTTAAAATTAGAGATAGTACTTTATCCTACAGGGTTTTTTTGTCCTTATTTAATCTAATAACGTACTAAATTGCTCTTAAAATTTCAAATTATTCAACCATATGGGCCTTTATCACTAAATCCTACTTTATTATAATGTATTATTTTAGTCCACTACTGGATTTCACTTGGTAAGTTTACTCTGTTTATGTTTGGGTTTTGTGCACCTTACCTGGTTTTGGTATCAGAGTTAGACTATTCTGGCAAAATGCTTTGGAAATGCCTCCATTTTCTTCTGAATCCTAAATAACATTAGCATTGTTGGTTCATTGAACCCTTGGTTAGAACTCCAGGAAAACTGGGCCTGATACTTTTTCAAGAAAGATTTTCATTGTAGCATTTTTTTAAATTCTCTTTTGAGTTTTTTTAATTCTTTCATAAGTGTTTTTTAATAACTTATAATTTCCTAGGAAATATCCTTTCACTTAGATTTTGGTTTATTGATATAAAGTTAGTACATTATCTTATGGTATCTACTTGCTTTGTTTAACTTTTTTATAATTTCTGTCATAAAAAGATTGAAAAACTAGCCTAAAAAATTTTTGTGTGTGGAGCACCTGGGTTAAGTGTCTGCCTTCAGCTCAGGTCATGATTCCAGGGTCCTGGGATTGAGCCCTGCATTGGGCTCCTTGCTCAGCGGGGAGCCTGCTTCTCCCTCTCCCTCTGCCTGCCACACCCCCTGCTTGTGCTCTCTCTCTGTCAAATAAAATCTTTAAAAAAATTTTTTTGTGTGTACAGCTCACTCATTTTCCAAATGTTAATGTCTTATCTCAAGCTACTACTCAGAAGTAGGCCTGGGCAAATTCTGGAGACAATAGCAGAGGGTCTAAGAGAAAACATGAAATGCTCCCCAAGCCCTCATCTGCCTGGATCACAGCCTAACCAGACAGAAGCAAGACTTGAGTCAGGCCAGGGCTGCCCAGACTTCAGGTAGTTGTCTGCTATCATCGTAACATCGCCATGTCTGTGTCCATGTGTAGGGTTTAGTTTTTTTTTAACTCAGGTAATTTTTTTAAACTTAAAATATATATGAAAAACAATTTCAAATACTATCATAAATGAAAAATCACTCTCCCTTTTAATATTTGTATACTAAGAAAAAATGTTCATCCATTTACTACCTAAAACAATGCTAGATACCACACTTTGAGAAACAGTGGGATGGATGGCAAATGAAAAGGTCCACACTGTCCCCTCAAGGAGCTGAGAAGTATGACACGATGCCCTTTGTACCATGATAAGGCTGCCCTTTGAACAGCGTGATAAGTTATCACAGGTTAACAAATCGGGACAAGA